TTCAAAAAATTTAAAAAGTAAAAGTTTACTATTTAATTTAAAAATTCAAAAAATTTATTCAATAAAAAAAATGATAAATTCATATTTTTATTTAACCCATTTCTATTCATTTGAGAATTCACCAAAATTTCAAATTTATCCGAATAGAACACCAGTCATTATTTGTGCAGATGAAAAATATTTCATTCAAAATCAATGGATTCCCTTATCATTATTTGCAATTTTCTTTCTAAAAAAAAAAACAAGAGGTTGAAGATGCAAATAATTTCATTTAAAATCAAACAGAATACAAAAAAAGAGAAACTATCACAAAGAAATTGAAAACAAAAAACAAAAAAAAAAAAAACCCTATTGTATCTCTCAGTATCTCATCCTCATCATAACCATCAACATGATCCATACCATACTCATCACTTGAATTCAAATCCACAGCCAAAGCCCCATTGTCATCGTCCTCTGAATCTGACTCAAAGCCAACCAGCCAAACACTTTCCCTGTGGGGTTCAAGTTTGACTTCAACCCCACCAACAGTGGAGACAACCCCGCTGGAAGCCAAACCTGAAACCCTCCTCTCAACCCTCCTCTCCACAAGGAAATCATCATCATCACAACCAACATCTACCTCAACATCACTGCCACCAATAGTTTCAACAACAAAAACAGAATTACCATAGTGTGTCTCTACAAAACCAAACCCTAACCCTAAATCTAACTCCAAATCATCCATATCCAATTCATGGGTTCCATCAATAACATCGAAACCCCGATCAGTTAATGCATCGGGGACCAAATCAACAGGTTATTGTTTTGATTGCTAGTGGTACCATCGGAAATAGACCAAATCAATACCTAGGATTGCTCGACGTGCTGGGGGAGGAGATCGATGACGAAATTGACTTGGTTCCCCCAGCACTACTAAAATCCTTAGCTTCAGCAACATGGAAGTATGTTGCTAAAAGTGGTTCTCATGTTGCTGAAAGTGGTTCTCATGTTGCTGAAAGTTCTTCAGCAACATGGGTTTGCTTGCTAAAAGTTTTGTTGGAGAAGGCTTGGTGGGTAATACATCACCAACCAAAATCTTGTTGCTGATGTATCAGCAACATAAGCTATGTTGTTGAAAATATAGTATCAGCAACATAGCTTATGTTGCTGAAAATATTCACCGGAATCCGGTGAGAGTAGGGGTGAATTTTCTCACCCTTTTCAGCAACATAAGCCACGTTGCTGAAGATAGGGTTTCAGCAACGTGGCTCATGTTGCTAAAAATTGAGAGAAATATGGCTGAAAACCCGACACCAAAATTCTGCCTAATTTTCAGCAAGTAAAGTTATGTTGCTGATTTCCAACTTTTACCAAGAAAAACCATGTTGTTGATATTTATTTTTATACTTCCACCCACATTTTCAACAACCTACCCATTGTTACTAATGTTTTCTCTAAATAGTATTAACCACATTTTTAGTAACATACTCTTTGTTGGTGATACATCAAAATACTTCATAAAAAAAAAATTATACTTACCAAAATTCTAAACACATATTTTTTATTTTAATTTTTATGAAAATAAATATATTACATTAAGTTTATACTATCAAATATTAAATTTAATAATATTACAATTTT